GACCAATTGACCCCTGTCTCTTGGACCCTTTCATTTCAAGGATTGACGTCGAGTGACGGGCTGTGTGACCCTTTCAATAGGTACCCATATTTTTAGCTAAATGCGGTCCGATTAATTCACTGCATATCGGACTCTGCTTATAACCTCGCGGATAACAGGCGTGACGTGATCATAGGCTTCACGAGCCACTTACCATCAGTTACCTGGATGGTTGGTTATCTTTCTATTGTAAAAATAATTAATAACTTTTCAGTTTTCTCTTACTTTCATTATTATTTTTCCAAAATAGATATAAATTTTGCATCAGATCTTATCTAAATTACTCTCACACTCGCGCTTATATAACTATATAAAACTTAAATAAAAAATAAACAAAACTAACTTGTATTTTAAAACGTATTCCATACTTTTTATCTGCATGTACAAGCAATTTGTTGGGCGGTGATTTCGCGAGCATTCTTCACTTTGGACTCTAGCACTGGAGAGTCTCCTGTACAATTAGGGATCGACGCAATTGGAAACTCTTAGAACTCGTCTATAACCGACCATTTGCGATTAATTGTCCACTTAGTAAGAATTATAAAATCTTAACGTTCATAAAACCAGAATTATTCTATAAAACACTCATAGAAATAATTAGTTATATAGATATTCATGAACCCATTTGAGTTAATTATGTTTCATAGATATGTTTTTTATATTAAGGGACATTAGAAAGTACAATTAACATAAAATTGTAATTAAAATTGTCATCGGTGCCAGCGAGGATTGAGCAGGGTTGCTCGCGGCTCTATCGATAAAGATGTCACATTTCGAAAGCGATTAAATCAAACGCACTGTCCGTTTGTAAAGCTACGTAATTCCAGGTCCGTCATAAATATTGCATGCCATTTGAGACGCATTGTATCCACATCGGAACACATATTTTAAAATATAACACAAATTTTGTTTCAGTCCACGGTTTTAAATAAAGCAATATTGCAGAAAAAACAAAAGCCAGAAGAAGAAAAAAATAACTGATTTTGTAAAAGGAATAACATACTATAAATATAAAACTTATTTAAATTTAGACTTACTACATTTAATTATTATAAGCCAGTCCGTAACTACTATCCTACCTGATGATAAGTGGTGATATAGCCGAAGATAGTAAAACGTACTGACTTTTTTACTTTTTTACGTGGTAGAGCCACGCTGCAGCTATATTAGTAGTATAGTTGTAGCACGAACGGGTCGGCTCGACCGGGGAAGGACCACGATCTCACAGAATACCAGCGTCAAATAGCAATTTAACACTGCTATGTTTCGTATGGTGAGTGTAGAGAACCGGAGACCCTTTTTACTGGAAAAGAGGCATTCCATCTTAGTCCTCACGAGTGACAACGCATCTGCGTTTTGATTCGCAAACGAAGATAAAAGTAGATGTCTATGGGCCACAGCAACAACTTACCATCAGGTGGGCTCGTTTGTCACTCGATCCTATAAAAAAAAACTTAGATACAATATTATGATGGCATTGTGAACTTGTATGGTGTCACCACGATATGGGGGCACCTCTCGAATAATCCACAATAATCTTCAACAACCGACAACTTAATATGCTGAATCATTCGTAATGGCGCAATACATTATTTATTCAGCGGCAATACAACAACAAGAGCCATTTTGAGATTCTTATTTTTTTTTAAATAATTTGGCATGAACCTCACACCCTTAATACGATGTACGACTATTAGGGTGGTTTGCTAATAATGTGGGTAGTTAAAAAAAAATCATTAGATAACGTCACTACTTAAGGTTATAAATATTAAATTTTGTCTTGATAACTTCATTAGTTCTTATGTAACCTTCAGTCATAGATGACGAGAAAGACTCATTCGACAATGTTGAATAACCGGCCAAGTACGAGTCGGACTCGCCATGAAGGGTTCCATGCCATCGCAATACATGTTTTTAGTAGGGGGAGCCCTTTTAACTATAATTTTTATTTTACCGAGACTGCTTCTTCAATGTCAGCCGTATAGAAGTGGTCAAGTCAATTCAAAAGAGGCAGAGAAAGCATCGAAGATAATCCATGTAGGCCAATTACAGCGGCTACAGAAGAAAATGTGAAAATTTTTGAAAAACTTGTATTGGGAGATGCACGAATTAAGATGTTAGCAGAAATCACTGACCTATCTGTTTTTACCATACACAGCATATTACATGACTATCTCAACCTCACAAAAGTCAGTGCAAGATGGGTGCCGCGAATGCTCACTGCACTTCAAAAGCAGGCGCGGGCTGACTGTTATAGGGAGTTTTTAGAGCCGTGTGGTGACGATCCGGCAAGTGTGTAAGGAATCAGACCTCCCCCGTCCCCATAAGAAGTTCAAAGTCACTCTATCGGCCGGTAAAATCATGGCCACAGTGTTTTAGGATTCCAAAGGAATAATATTGTTCGGGGACACAAATAAGGTGAAACCATCAACTCAGACAAATACTCAGCCATTTGACGCCATTTGAGAGAAGCAATAAAAGAAAAGAGAAGAGGAAAGCTGAAAAAGAAAGTATTGATTCATGACAACACACCGGTTCATACGGCACGGCTCTCCAAGGCTGCTGTACGAGATTGCGGGTTTGAGGACATTAACCACCAATCATACAGCCCAGATCTAGCCCCTAGTGATTACTTTTTATTCCCAAAATTAAAAGGACCTTCGGGGAAAGCAATTTTCTGACGATAATATGCTCAAGTCCGCCGCATTTTTCAGACCAAGGCGAAGAATATTTTTGCAATTAAAAATTTTTTCACGAACAACTAAATTTATTTGTCATTTGAGACTATTTTGAAAACTAAAGAATATTTCACAATTTTATTTTTTTCCTACATATTCATACCGAGAATATATTGAACGCCTCTGATATTATGTAATGCCTAGAAACTAAGGGCTGGTTAGAGAAAGAGATAAGCCACAACAGTTCAGAACGAAAACTTTGTGTTGTTGATATTCAAAACCAACATATTATATGTACTATACTTACGACTGCTTCGCTGGTCTAGTGGTTGTAGTATTGCGACTACTGATCATGAGGTCCCGGGTTCGAATCCCGGGTCGGGACAAAAAATCTATTATTGAGTTTTTCCATCAAGAAATTCTCCGTAGCTGCCCGGAGTCAAGAAGCTGGCGGTGTCCACCCCCGTGCCTCGGAAAGCACGTAAAGCCGCCGGCACACCGACCCATCGGACTGTGAGAGTGAGGGAATAGAGTGCATCTGTGCTTGCGCATACACTTGGCCACTATAAACCTGTCCTGCACCGATGGCTAGTCTTCGTTGAGGCAGGCCGCCGTGACCGAAATTCGGTCTGGAGGACATTATTACTATACTTACATTAATTATTTAGTAAGTCTTGAATCTTATCTCTTCAGTTTGAGCAGTACATATTAGTATTAACCCTTTCACTGTCCCGTGCACTACATATAGGGCACTGCTATTGTCTTACTATTGTGTCTGGAAATCGGACAGTGAAAGTGTTAAGTTCGGCAGTGGATGCTATTTTTCATGTTTTAAGATAATAATCTTGTGTAATATATAAAAAAGACATTTTGTTAACTGATGTATATGGAAATAAAGATTATTATTAAAGTTCGAAAAATTATTAAAACTAGTTTGACCCAGTGCTTTTAGTTAAAGGCTATAATTTATACATTCTTAGGTTTTTTTATAAATAAAAAGAGTGACAAACGAGCAGACAGTCCACCTGATAATAACTGATCGCGATACATCCCCGATTAAGAATCCATTTGCAGCATGAGTTGTCACCCCTGAGGGTTTAGGATGAAATACACTGACTATATGAAACACAGCAGCAATAAGCGGGTATTTCTCTCTAGTATTCTGTGAGAACGTTTTCCATCCCGGGCGAGCCAACCTATTCGTGCTACAACCATGGTATAGCTGCACCGTGGCTCTACCATGAATAAAAAGCTACTATCGCTTAGCTCATATTACTAGTTATGTGCTTTCGTATTTTGAGCAATTTAACAGAAGTTATTTCTTCTTCTTCTTCTTATCTTCACGCACAATCCCTGACGGGGTAGCCAGAGAGAACAGATCGCCAAGTGTCACGATCCTTACATACCTCTTTCGCTTCTTTCAGATTCATTATCTTCTTCGTACATGCACGTCTAGGTATCCGAGTACTCTTGACCCTACCTTCTTCGAGCAATTTGCTCACATGATCTTCGAAAGTTAGTCTCGGTCTACCTCGACACCTTTTAATATTAACTTTCGCGCTATATATTTTCTTCACCAATCGGTCTTCACTCATTCGCTCAACGTGCCCAAACCACCGAAGCACGCCCTTATCAATTTTTGTGATAAGGTCATCTTTCAAACCTGCCATATTAAATAACAGAAGTCATAGTTATTTCAATTATTATTAGAGTTTATCCAAAAGGCACAAGGGTCATAAGGCTTTATCCAGTGAATAAGCTGGTAATATATGGATAAAAATTAAAATACAAATAAATTTGTATTGCACTTTTATTTCAAGTTTAGAATTAACTAATCACAAATATACTATTTACAAGTGTGTTCAACTACATAATAATATAATCTAAAAATTCAAAAAGTCTTATTTACAACGAATTAAATGACTAATATTAACAAATTTTCTAGCTAAAAGTGATTATAAAATTGTCTTTGGTATTCAATCTTTGGTTTAGATTTATTTATCTTTGGTTTTTTTACCCATTTGACTTTGTAAAAAATTACAGAAATTCAGAACCTTTTTTTGAAGCTATCAAAAGAGGTTTACTTACACAATTTATTAATATATTATATTTTCTGTAATAAGTGCAGTAAATCTTTAATTTATTTTTAAATAATGCGTTCTCTTTTTTTAAATTAAAAAATTGGCTAAATTGTTTTAAGCAGTTTGTTTTTTGTTTATCAATTTTAAACCTGTTTAAAAAGTAATTTACAAAAAAAGGTAGGACAATTTAAAAGTTCATAGATTAGTTTTCTACCTCGATATTACTAGCCATACTTTCGTTACTGTTTTCGTTAATATTTTTCGTTCTCGCGCTGTCTTCTCCAAACTCTTTTGTGTCAATACTTGATTCTCCCTGATTTCTCTCCATATCACATGGTGCAGGCATCCCAAACGTTGAATGACTTGGATAGTACATGTATGACAATGGTATATTGGGATAATTGACGCCCAGATGTGGCCCGTATAATGATTGTAGAACAGCTTGATTATACGACTCTTGTAGCAGCGCTTTGTACTCCGGGTTCTTAACAAAGTCTACGCCGTAGACGCCAGCAAAATGTTTTAAAATTGGAGAACCTTCCAAAAGGTTCGGAGGCGTGAACAACGCCGGATTTAACGACTTTGAAATTAAAGGGGTCTGATATGTTTTTAGATCGGGTAAAGTGGGCTGTCCGTTGTTGTTGACTAGAACTTTGACGGCTACTTTTCGGGCGTGGTTGGCTGCAGCCGCTGCCGCCGCTAGCATCCCGCTTTCCTGCATTTGCATTTGTTTTCTTTTAGTTTTGTACCGTCGATTTTGAAACCATATTTTGACTTGGGTTTCGGTGAGTTTGAGACTTACTGCTAAGTCAGCGCGTTCGGGCCCGGAGAGGTATCTTTGTTGACTGAACCGTCTCTCAAGCTCGTAAACCTGAGCGTGAGAAAAGGCAGCTCTCGATCGCTTCTTTCGTCCGCCATTTTGTGTGTATTCGTTCATGTGGTTATAGTTTGTTGAGTGAAGAGTTCCAGTGTCGCTTGGAGGGGGTGTTGTACACTTTCCTGGTTCATAATGGAGGTTAAAAGGTTTATAGCTGATATCAGAATTAGGGGATGAGTTGCTGCGACGAATTGGGGATCCTGGGGTAGATGATCGGGAGTCATAGTCATCTGTAACAATGGTAAACATCTAAATTAGAAAATTACACTTTAAAATGTATATAGTAAATGAAAATATATCTATTAATAAGTGCTCTCAAAAGAAAAAGGTAAAAAGGCCTCCTCTCATTTGCTGAGAGGCTTATGTCTGTGAGAGCGTGGTCCTTCCCCGGTCGAGCCGACCCATTCCTGCTACAACTATACCAGTAATATAGCTGCAGCATGGCTCTACCACGTAAAACACTGGAAGATATTTCAGCAAATTATGGAATAAGTAGAACCTTTGTACAAACTCACTATAAGGCTGTTTCTGTATCTTGTTGTGTGTACATTAATAAATAAAAAAAAGAAAAGTATGTATATGAAAAAGAAAATATATGTTCAATTAATAGAGGAAATACTTTCTTTTGAAATTGCACATTAATTATTAAAGAAGATATTGAAAGTTGTCTTTAGTTTTACGAAGAGGAATTTATGTCTCGTGGTTATTAACATCACCATTCTGCACTTGCCCGTCAATCGTCGCACTATGGTGATATCAGAGATAGAATTTATGTCGATAACGATATTGTAATTTTCAAACTATTCGCATATTTCTTTAGTTGTGTTTAAAAGGACTTAATTTGATTGGTACCTTACGCACGCCATCTGCGTATAAAGGAGTATTCACAATGCGTCGATTACACAAATTGTCTTCAGTCATTAGCCGTCACCGGTTTATCTTTTTGAATAGATTTAACAGTGTTTTTGCGTGCTGCGTCGAATCTTTTGTTAAAAGTTTTGGTACCAGCTTATTTTATAACACCGTGAAACTAACCTACCCGTAGGTTTGTTAAGATATTAATGATGTTACCTACGTGATAAATTAATAACTAAAATTGTACTACCTTACAATTTGTACAAATTAATACGTTACGTTGATAACCTATGTTAATGTTTTATTTATGTATAAATCTACATTTCAGTCCAAAAGATTTTCAAACGATAGATATCTAGAGGTGTTTAATAATATTTAACCTATATAATATAGTTTTTCTTATTTCTGTTTTATATACTTATCTTCACGCACAATCCCTGACGGGGTAGCCAGAGAGAACAGATCGTCAAGTGTCACGACCCTTACATACCTCTTTCGCTTCTTTCAGATTCAATATCTTCTTCATACATGCACGTCTAGGTATCCGAGTACTCTTGACCCTACCCTCTTCAAGCAATTTGCTCACATGGTCTTCGAAAGTTAGTCTCGGTACCTCGACACCTTTTAATATTAGCTTTCGCGCTATATATTTTCTTCACCATTCGGTCTTCACTCATTCGCTCAACGTGCCCAAACCACCGAAGCACGCCCTTATCAATTTTTGTGATAAGGTCATCTTTCAAACCTGCCATATTGCGAGTCTCTTCGTTTCGCTTTCGGTCGACCATGGTAACGCCGCACATTTTACGAAGAGATCGCATCTCCACTGCATTCAACTTGCTTTTATGCTTCTTCTGGCATACCCAGGTTTCGCTGCCATATAACAAAGGCGTGCACTCTTCACTTCGCCTTGCGTTTTGATTAACGCAGTCAGGGCACCATTGACTTTGTTCCCGGCAGCGACACGCTTGTCCACATCTAAATCACATCTTCCATCCTGGCTAAAAGCACTCCCCAAGTATACAATTTCATTTACCTGTTCTAGACATTCCTGATTTACCCATATTTCACACTTCGTTCTCTCTTCGTCCCTTTCAAATACCAGAACCTTAGTTTTATTAACATTCAAACGGAGACCTTTAATTTCACATTCCTCTTTCATACACGTGACTAATGCCTGCAGTTCTGCCTCTGATGGTGCAATAAGCACTGCATCATCAGCATACAGCAGACAATTTACTTTTATGTCACCCAATTTCACACCCAAACAGCTATCTTTCAGCTTCTGTAAACAGCTGTCGAGATACAGTATGAACAGCCAGGAAGACATGACACAAGCCTGTTTTACGCCCGTTTGGATGCTAAACATGGGTTACAGGTCATGCCCTACCCGCACACAGGCTTTACAGTCACAGTAAAGAGACTGCACAGCCCTTAGCAATCGACCATCCACACCATACCCCGGCAACAGTTCCCACATTTTCTTCCTTACAACCTTATCAAATGCTTTCTCAAGATCCACAAAAGCACAGAAAATCCTCTGGTTAGCAGCCAGGAGCTTTTTCGTAATCATGCGGAGAGAAAACATTTGATCCGTGCATCCTCTTCCAGGTCTAAATCCGCATTGTGCCTCCCATAGAAATCTTTCCGATTTCTCTTGCATCCTACGTGTCAAAACCTTCGAGTAAACTTTACTTGCTAAACTGGTTAAGCTGATCGCCCGATAGCACCCGCAGTCAAAATGTGAACCTTTACCTTTATATAAAGGCACAATGACTGCGGATTGCCAATCATCCGGGACATCCCCTGTCCGCCAGCACAAATTGCACAGCAGATGAAAGCTGTCCCAGACGCGAGGCCCACCATACTTGACCATTTCAGCAGTAACTCTGTCTAGTCCCGCAGTCTTACCACATTTCAAACTTCGAATCGCACGTTCAATCTCTTTCATACTGATGACCTCAGTGTCATCGAGGTCCGGGTCTGGCGTACCAGTCACGGCGTCATCCCCGGATCCCTCACTAAGATCATCACACGCATACATTTCTCTATAAAATTCGCTCCATCGCTGCATGACGTCCGATTTTTCTGAGAGGACGTCATTAGTTCTCGAAAGCACTTTGTTCATTCTTAAGGCCGTCGCACCGCTTCGGGTCCTTCCAACCTCTTTCCAGAAGAGTTTGGAGTTCTCCTTAAAGTTGTGCGACAACCTTTCGTCCGCTTCCATTCTACACCTTTCACGCACTTCCTCAATCAATGCTTTCGTGTGAACTTTCTGCAGCCTATATCTTTCTTTCATCTTCTCTCTCATATCTTTATCATTACTAGAGGCCAAGTAGTCTAACCATGCTTTCTTCTTCTTCTTTACAGCTTCTTTCACTTCATCATTCCACCATGCATCTCTTCTTTTACTACTGCCTCTTTTTATTGTTCCACACACTTGTTCCGCTTCACTTACCATTCCATCCCTAAGGTTCTGCCATGTTCTTTCTACACATTCTTTTCTGCCATCGATAGTGTCAAGCTTTTCGGCTACCCTCGCATGATATTTGTCCCTAGTATCCGCTTCCTGAAGCTTCCAGCTTCGGATGCGACAGACCGACTGTGGTTCTGTCACTGTCGTCCGGTAGCGCCAACCCGCGAACAGACCCCTAAATCTAGTAATCACTAGATAGTGATCCGTTCCCAGGTCAGCACCCCTGAACACTCGCGTATCCATCACCTGTTTTCGCATTCGGTCATCCACCAGGAACAAATCGATCATACTTCTCTCATTCTTTCGTTCTCTAGTATACATATGGATTTTCTTGTGATTAAATATAGTGTTTGTCACAAGAAGACCCTTTTCCTTGCATACCGTCAGTATAAGCTTGCCAGCATCATTAACCCTTTTATCGCCAAACTTTACGTAACGTAAGTACCGACTCGTACCCTGGTCGAGCGGTACCAACCCATCCATTCAAATCACCACATACAACAATTCTTTCGTTTCCCCTAGCCAAATCTAGAACTTCTCTTACATTCTCCCAAAACTCCTCCAGCTCAGCCCTGGACGACGAAGCTACCGGCGCATAAACAGCCAAAAGGAATAACTTCGTCAGTCCCAATTTAAAGCGAACCCAGAGAAGTCTTGAGTTCAGAACCTTATATTCAGTCATAACATCGACCAACCGAGAAGACAGCAGCACCCCCACTCCCTGTTTTATATAAGTACTTAATTCTTAATTCTGAAGTTCTATAGACGTGATGCGAATAATCGCGATGCACATAATCTTTTACAAAACTACTAAAATGGTAGTGGTAAGTTTACCGGTGTAACTATTTCGTTTAAGCTAGACGTATTTTATCCAGACTGGTGACGATAGCAGTGTCAAAGTTTTCTTTTATTTTGTCTTCAATATAAAGTTGCGGGACATCTGGTGCTGTGATTACTCATCCGCCTGCTAAGCGTGCTTTTACAGGCTGACGATGATGATGATCCCTTATACATTACAGCCTACAAAGTTCTCTGAATATGAGCCCCCCCCCCCCCATAGATTGTCTTATAGTTGCGCTTGGCAGACAGTTTGGCAACCGCAGTTTTTTTATTATTTTGACTCGTCATCAGAAAGATGATACTTTTTAAGATGAACGATATGACTTAGTAGATATTCTTACACTGCCACTTCACGGTTTTATTGATGACGATGATAATGATGCATTATATCTTAATCTTAAAATTATAGCTTTTAATTTTCTGTAAAATAAAGTTGTATATAAAAAACAATAGATTTAAACTACTTTAAGACTTAGTTTACCTTAATTGAAAACATGCTATATTGTATTTGCGTACAATATAAACTACATTTCTAGGTCGTGTGATACGCTTCGAAAGACATTAACATTAGAAAATTAACCGAAGACTTAATGGCACACGATTCATCCGCCACGTGCCGATAGAACATAGTAATTACTAAATTGAATGCTCGAATAGTGCTTTCAAGTCACTTGTTGTAATGAGGGGCGATGCGTAATCGAAGTGGCCGAGCGATGTCGCGGCGCGGCACCGTCGCGTCGGTGTGAATGCGCCATTACATTTGTATTGTTGCAAGCGATTTGAATTTGTAATGCCCTTCGATTGTTACGGCTTTTTTCACTTTGTGCTATTGCGTAGAGTTTATTGTATTAGAAATCTATTCTGATATACATTTATAATAAAATATATTTAATAACACTTAATACATGTTACAGAAACATTTTAATATAATTTTATTTTAACCAGTGAATCTGGAGAAGCTCGTTTGAACAAAAAATAAACGAAAATTGTTAGGTTTTACTTTAAGTTTTAAACCTAGCCCATAACTATTGAATACGAGGAAGTTGCCTATATCATTTT